AAACCGGAGCTGCATGGAGCTCCACACACAACGTGTACAGCCGAACCCCTCCCTTTGCCAAGGCTGCTTTGTGGCTGTGCCGCACATCGACGAGAGTAGCACATTTGCCAACCTCTAGACTCTAACTGTCATAGCCAAGGCAGACTGCTTTGAAGTTGTTCGCCCAGACGGCTTCGGATGCCCAAGACATGTTCTTGGCCTTTGATTCTGGATCATCGAAAGGTGCAGCCGAAATTCGGCGATCTTTCAACAAGCTCCAGAAGCAGCATGAGACTTGGGGCCAGACCTCCTGGTCACTGTTGCCCTCGAGCCAGCTCGACTTGGAAGCCAGGGCGAAATTCAGATCGAGCGAGCCACTCGGCTGGAACGTCGCAATGCTTGGGATCATCCAATGACTCCCCTTCCCAGGAACCCCACCGATGCCAGAGGCGGCAGAAAGCGCAAACGAGCCGCGAGTATCGCGAGTCTCGGGGGCCCCGAAGGGGCATTCGTGCTCAGTGCCGGCTTCACTTTGCCAGCTCGCGAGCTTCGTTTCTTGTCGATGGCCGCCGGGACACTTTGGGGGCCACGTCGTTAGCCTTGTGTCCTTGTGTTCGTAAAGGACGTAGATGAACATAAAACCTGGCAGGACCGACTCCTCCTACCCGTACCTGCACACGCCTTTGCTACTCCCGGCCGATCTGCAACCGATGGTTACCCGATAGGACAAGGAGCAGGCGGATTTGTGTGCAGATTAGTTCAACTATATGGTGCAATCCTCCTGCCTGCAAGGTGCTTCTGTCGCAATCAGACGAAGCAAACAAAGACAAAGTCGTCCACGACCAGCCTCCTCTGCAGCACTTTGTCGATGATATTCGCAAGGAGGCCTCTTCAGACTTGATGTGTCTTTGGAGTTTTGGACTCCAGCTGCCGTCATGACTCGCTGCCTTCAGGACCTCGTTCCACTGCGTTACTGGAGCAAGCACGAGACGCTCTACAAGGAATTGATGCACCTGTTGCAGGCCTGCTGCCTCGTTTTGTGGAGCCCGGATCCAACACTGCTGCTGGCTGCAGTTGCCACTTAGCAAATCTTTGGCCGCTTTCCACTTGTGTGCTGCAGAAACTGATGCCGGCCTGGGGCCGTTCACACACCGAGGAGAGCAGGGTTTGCGCCATTGTTCTATGCCGCTCCACGAGACACATGCAGATCTTGGACGAGTACTTGAAAGCAGCGATTCTTGTGAAGATGCTGGACCCGAGCTGCAGCCGCTTCTACCAGCAAGGGCAGGCGATGTCAGTGCCAGCCGCCCCGTCGCCACCGGCGCCAGCGATCGTTGCAGCACCGCGACATGACAATGATGAAGATCAGCCGGCTCAAGAAGAGGAGGACGCGGAGGAACCGTTGGATGACTTGTCGGAGATGCTGCAAAACATTGACTCGCCAGTGTGAACACAATTTTAAGGTCCGTGCAGCGAGAGGTTTTGACATAGTGTTACAGATAAATTCTGCCAACAAGACAGCCGTTCTGCTGCAAGGGCCCAGGCTTTCGATGCAGGAGGCTGCCATTGGCACTCCCGCTGCACAGACAGGCCGATGATGGAAATTGCTGACAGATTCACTTTACGGTGCTCGGTCACATGGCTTGCATGGCCCTTGACAGTATCAGAGCTTCGATCATGTGGAAGAGCAGCCATTTAAGATTCCGGGCCCTCTGGCGGCTTTCAGTTTTGTTTTCGAGTGCTGGCATGTCGCAGAAAGATGCCGATGCTGTTGCCATGGTCCAGACGGGGGCCGCTCCGAGACGCCGGAACCTTATAGAACCAACGTAGTGCATCTAAACCTTGCCAGCACATGGTTGAAGCTGCAGGCTCGAAGGTCGTCGACATGTCGGCTGACCGGCTGAAGACCATCCTTTCCCTGAAGCAGGTGCTCCGGAACTTTGTGTCAAGCACCTGAAGTCAAGATCTCAATTGGCAGTCCGATCCCGAAACACTCTGGAGCTTGTGTGACCAGCTTGAGCCGTGCGAGCCTCAAAGTTTCATAATAAGATGTGTGAGCCAAACGTAGATTGTCTCTGAAAGCAAGGTCTGCTCCCGCCAAGAAGAAGAGCTCTTCCAAAAGTTTGCCCCGTGCTTACATGCTGATTTCCCACATTCTCGCGAGATTTCTCACTGTATGGAAAAGTTGACTCCCAGGTTCTGTGGTGCGAAGGAAACGGCTTCCAAGCCGGAAGCGAAGCAGGAGGATGGCAAGGCGGCGGAGCCATCCGTCCGCCACGACTCGAAGGGCCCGGCGAGCCCTGCCAAAAAAGGGCGAACAGCCCAGGTCAAGTTGCAGGAGCGAGAGAAGAAGGCTGGGAAGCCTGACAAGGCGCAGACGACAAAGCACTACATGTTTTGCTCACTGCTCTCGAAGCCGAACATGCAGCAAGCCGTGAATCACATGCTGAAGCTGATGAATCCCAGTGTGACGTACACGTCTTTCGAGATCGTGTATGCCCCGCAACGGGGCGCGGCCGGGATGCAAGCTGGCATTCCCTCGGCTTCACGGCCCATGTACGTGGTGGCTCCAATGCCCGCCGCCGAAGGCCAGGAAATGCTTCATTCGCCTAGAACAGTGCCATCTGATGCTCAGCTGTACATGTTTCATGTGGCAGGAGCCGCAGGGCCGCAGCTATGGACCTACCTCTCCTCCTGCAAGGACTCTGCTGTGAACACTCTGTTTGCTGGCAAAATGGTGACGGTCGACAGCCGGCTGCCCTGGACATGGGTGGCGGCCAATTACCCTCGGCTTTGCATCATGCTGGTGCAGGTGCTTTGAAGCTGGGGGAGGTGCAGAGGGCCCTCGCTGGTGCCGGCTTCCCGAAGGCCGGTCCAGATGCGAAGATGATGACGCTTCCAGAGGCAATGGCATCCGGCCCCAGGCTCATGAAACTCGGTGGCATTAACTAGCTAAACTTTGCAGGTTTCTCACCTCATCGTCTGGAACTCCTTGCGACTCTAACTTGCAGGCTTTTGGCTGCCAAGAAGTACAAAGTGGACCATCCATCGCCCATCAAGGCGGGATTGGGGGCCCCACGCGCTTGATAAGATGCTGCCTGTTGTGCTCCGGCAGGACCTTCAGAGCAAATACTGCTCCAATTGCACTTGCGACTCGTGCAATGAAATCCGTCGCAAGCACGCTGATCGCCTGGCACAGTGAGATCGCAAGCAGGCCAGTTGGCAAATATGTTAAAGAGACAGCTCTAAAATACAAGAACGGGGTTTTCACGGCTTCAGCTTGCATCTCAGATTTTGACACGGCAGTGGCAGCCCCGAGGGAGTGAAAACAGGAGCCATTTCTATGCCGGAGTCTCATGTTTCTTGCATGGCAGTCCACTCAGTCGCACGCTCAATCAATACAGCGCTGTCAGTTTTCCATGACGACGGCCTGGCACACTCTAGCAGCAACCAGCCCATGTCTGCAGCAACAACCAAAGTGCCGTGTGCGGCCGCCCATCATATGAAAAAAACGGCTGTCAACAAATCATATTCGCATCATCTCAGCTTTTCGTGCTGGAGTCAATGGCTGCCGAGTCCAGTTTCATCAGAGCACTGGCCTCAAATTCCGCAGCGTGGTGTGTGATGTCAAGTCGAATGGCGGGTGTTGCTGCCGAGGCCTGAAGGTTGCGACTGTCTGAAGCTTTTCTTCTGGAGCTGGAAGCTTAGCACGTGATTGATTCTGCCCGCAAGATGCTTTCGTTTATGCTCCATGAATCCATGACTGTAGGAGCACGAGTCCATCAACCTTAGTCTTCATTGAGATGCTTTTCAAGTCCTGTGCGATGGTGCCTTCCAATCCACCAGTCTAGATCTTGGAGCCCTGTTCGAGACGATTTGGGGTTTCGATTTGACGGATGTAATGGGTCCGACGGACCCAAGGCGGGGACCGATGGTCCCTCAAACTTTCCCCGTGAAGTGTGCTTCATTTCAACCAGAAGCAAAAGCCACGGAGAGCGGGCGGTTATCATCCAATGGGTTTCTAGCTGATTTTGACGCAGGGCACAGCCGGGCAGGGGGCAGGGGACAACCACAATTGGGAGGACAACCACAATTGGGAGGGTCTATTGGAGACAACCACAATTGGATTTCGGAGGACCCTTGAGGCCAGTCCCCAATTGTGGTTGCCCTCCCAATTCTTTCAAGGCGGAGCCTGCAACAAAAATTTTTTTTCCTTTCAAACACCTTTAAAAGGCGTGGATTTGTCGTATCCGAGCGTTCGGCGCGAACGGTCGTTGTTTTTCAGGTCCATTTCGAATCCCTTGAACGACGCCGTTTTTGAAGAATTGGTCGGGCAACCACAATTGGCTGAGGAATTGTGGTCGTCCAACGCCCAAAATGCTGGGTTCCACTCCTGACCTCCTTGGACTGTGTTAATGGGAACGCATTGAATCTTGCTGATCTCGCTCATTGGACTTGACCCAGAGAACTGTGCTATGTTTGAAAACAAGGCATTGGCTGAGACGTGCCGAGTCGTCCGCCTCAAAGGCGGGACTGAGAGCAACATGTTTGGATAGTTTTACGCGATGGTGCTGCCTGTAACTTGGGCAGGACTTGCCATTCGGCTGTGATTGCCCTGCTGAGACTCGTCAAGGCACTTGATTAAAGTGGCAGTTCAAGTGATTCTGATGAAACAGCAGGGAATCTACAAGTTTAAACTTGATGTCCGGTTTAGCACCGTACTCTGCAATCCTGGGCCTTAAGACCCTTAAGGTTTCAATTCTCATGGCATGCAGAAAGACACTGAGGAAGTTGGAATGCCGTCTTTTCCATACACCTGCCCGAAGTGCGGGTGCAAGAGCCGAAGGAAAGGCATCCCATGTAGCAAGTGCCACTTGATTGCAACGACTTGCACACAAACCACTGAAGCCTGTTGTTCTCCTAAATTCCAAGGCGAGCCGGGCAATCAGAGAGGGCGCAATCTGGATGAGCATCGCAAGATGCAGACAGGCAACAGCTGGGTTTTGAGAGACAAGCGGGTCATGCCGACGGATAGCACAGAGTTGGCGGAGTCGGCCACCATGAAGGGCATCAAGCTGCAGAAGATTCACGACTATGGTATTCTGCTGCCGCATGACCTCAAGGATGGCACGCCGATGAGTTTCCAGCAAGGCAGAATCACGGCTGCAGTCAGGCGGCTTGGGTGCTTTGTTTTGTGCTGCCGCTTGCTGCAAATAAGGTCTCTGCAGCGATCTTGCCGTCCTCTTGAAAAAGAAGGAGAAGGAGGAGAAGAAGGAGGCCGGCTTCACATCACTTCAAATCAGTCAGGTCATTCCAACCAAATCCGAAGGTCCCGCTCGCCGTGCAGCTCTTCTGCACTTCCTTTAGACGGCACTTCAGCTGCACGGGCAGACACAGGGCAGAGCCGGAATCCAGCCGGAGCCATCTTTGATCATCAGCAAGACACAATCCGAGGCAAGACGCCGAGCCGGCGAGCGGCAGCGGCGGCACCGGCCCGGCGAGCGGCAGCGGCGGCACCGGCGGCGGCTGATCAGCTCGTCGGCCGGGCGAAAAGAGGGGACCGCTGTGCATGCATCGGCAGGTAGCAACACACACACACCTAAATCCCAGACCCCCAACACAAACCATTGAAAAAGTATTGACTTTTTTCACCCGGAACACTTAAAAGCCTAGTATCGAAGTCCCCATTCTGCGGATACACATCGGGCTCGTCAGCCGCAGCGAGCTCGCACAGGAGTGGAAAGACAATCTCTACTGGGTGACCGTGGCTTTGACGGCAGTAGGGGTCTGAATACTAATACAGAGGACTGAGGGTAGAATAGCCTTGGGGTTTGTTACTACATGTATACTGGGAGCCCTCGGTGGCACACAACACTTCCAAGGAAGACGGCATTCCAGCGGAGGAGCTGGACGACGATGAGTACAATGAGCTCTTCGACGCGAAGGCGTTCGTGTATGATTCCAGCAAGAACGATTGGGACCACGGTTGGTCCAGCAATTGCTGGACCTTCTGGTGCTGGCCCCGGTGGCCAGCCGGCGAGAGGGGTGAATTTTGAAAACCAGAATCTGACCCTCGCCATTTGCAGTTGCTGTGGTTTCATTATGTTTCACCGTACTGGTGACCACACAGGAAGCCTCAGGTGAGCTACAAGCACATGATGCTCGAATAAACTGATCCCAGACTCGTCGGCCGAAGCTGGCTGTGAGTTTGCTGTGTGGCCCGGCAGCGTTAAAGTCCTCGCAGCCAAGATTACCGATATGTGGGGTTGCAAAGTCTCCCCAGCCGCCCCAGCCGCTTTGAAGTTGTGCCATGGGTGAACCCCGGCCCCGACTCGGGCGATCGTCGTGAATTCGGTCGCATGGAGATTTCAAAGCGAGACATACAAGAGACTCTGCCAGATTTCGAGAGGAGTTGCCTCGCATCTGCCACACATGCACACACCCGTAGGATGCTGGGTAGAAGTAGAAGCACCCTTAAACTTTACGGAGACACTGGGCCCGCAGCCTCCTATGCATTGGCAGTTTCAGCTCCAGAACTCCTGAGTTGTGGGAGCTTCAGTCACCCCAAATCAAACCCCAAACCCCTGCAATCCCCAACCCCCTAAACCTCCAAGCGCTCCAAATCGCGAAAAGCCCCGAACTGCCTCGGATCCCAGGCCCGCCGCTGTCGGAAGGAGGGAGCTTGGAGCTCAAGAGCTGATACGTAGAGGGTTTGTAGGGCTTAGGGGTTTAGGGTTGAGAAGGGGCCTTAGTACCAGTAGTTCGATTAAATTGGGGTTCAGGGCATGTCTGGCGTTTTGGATCCAGGGTTTGGGGTCAAGTTTTTCAAGGTTTTCGTGTTTTTGGTGGGGGGTATCGCCGTATCGCCTGGTACTATACAAGTAAAGGGGGACTACGGAGATAGGTTTTGACCTTGCCGTTTTGAGGCTACGCTTAAGCCTAAGCCTACACCCTAAACGGTAAATGCGCCCAACTGAGGATTTCAGGTCTCGAGTGTTGGGTTGATGAGGGTTTGGCCTTTCAGTTTCTTGGCGTATCAGAAGGCTCTGTTGTGAAGGCATGCCCTTAAAAGGTCCTAATCTGCTGCTGGCAAGCGTTTGGTTTGCTTTTTCCTGCGCTTGATGTATGGTTCTGAACCTATTATCTGACTCAGAAGACCAGAACGCGCTTGCGTGCCGAGGGGGGGCCTCGTCCTTTCCTCTTGTCAGTGTGAAATTCGAAAGAGGAAAAGAAAGAGAGAGAGAGAGAGAGAGAGACAGACAGAGACAGAGAGAGAGAGAGTGAGTGAGTGAGTGAGTGAGTGAGTGAGTGCGTGAGTGCGTGAGTGCGTGAGTGCGTGAGTTATATAACACGCCCCAAACCGTATTCCAATCATTCAGGCCTCTGTCTTCCCTGAGCGCGGAGCTTCGATAGCCTGCGTTCGGATCCCGTCGTTTCCGTGCCGAGGTGAGCCACTGGACATCTAAAGCCATTTTGGCTAAACTGCAGTCTGCTGGCCGGCAGCTTAAGCCCGGGTGTGGACGTTTGCTGGCAGAGTCTGAACATGCTGGATTGGAGAAGTTGCTGAGATCTGCCAAGAGGAGCCTGTTGCCGAGGAGATGCATTGACCTCCGGTGGGGAAGCTGACGTTGATGTTGGCGCAGATTGCGCCAACGACGAGGTTGAAGATACCTCATGCGGCGCTGGTCTCAGCATGCTACATTTGCAAAGTCGGCATTGCCTACAGGCCCCCTAAGACCATTTCCGTTAAACTTGGAGCCCCAAACAGTAAACCGCGGACACGAGCATCTGACAATCTGAGGTGAGAAGTCGCCGCTTAGCAGCCCACCGAGCCCTAGTAGCCAGGCCAGGATTGTACGACACCACGGGATCAGGGTCTGGGGTTTACATAGGTTTATGCGGTGTTCTAAAGCTTCACGGATTTAGGTGTTTGTGATGCAATGACAAGGATCTCTACAATGGACTATCGTTCAGGTGTTCGGGGGTGTAGGGTCAATTCAGTACGAGATTCACGCGAGGCATATTCCGAATAGACAAAAGGAAATAGATGGTGTTACACATGATCCGCGAGACCCTGTAGATGAGGGCCTAGGCCTCGTTTGATCGCATGATGGCTGGCATTGCCGCTCCGCTGAGTTCTTCTGCGTTTTCCAAAGTCATCGAGCTGCAACCAGGCGGTGGCCGATCGGCCGCACAGAAAAGAAAATCAAGACAGCGAAGGCAAATGCCAAACAGCGGCAGTGCAGCCCATCTCGTAGGAATCGTAGAAGTAGTCGTCTGTCGGCATCGTCCTGCCGCACCCCGGATGTGGAGAGCTGCGCTGCGTACATAGCCAGACTTCTTGCAAGCATTTGATCTAGTTGTGTCTATGCTCGGTCTCTGTGTTCCCTGCTCTCATCTCTACGGCCCTTCCCCTTCTCCTCTCGTCTCGCTTTTCCGAGGGGTGGCGGAGAGAAGGCGAGAAGATGAGTATCAGAAGACGCCAACGTGAAGCACACCCCCTATCTGTCCTTGTAGTTGTTTTACACGGGTCGTTTTCTGAAGCCATAGTAGAGTCTGATGAGAGCTTGGATGAGAGCATATGGCCGCTCAACCTGATGCACATACCGCATAGTAGTGCCTCCCGTCTGAGGCCTTAGCACAAACCCAAACATAGACTGACATGGATGCACCTACAACGAAGACCTACCTGTTTCGCAGGTAACGGCGCCAACACGAAAGTCCAGCGAGACTTGTCTGCACAGAAACTACTTACCGTAGGCTTCAGGGTTTAGTGCGCAGGGTTTACCCATAGACCCTCCCCTCCCCCTACCGTACCCTCCACCCCAACAACCTCTGGTCCTAGACGCAACCCACCAGTGAAGACCAAAGGGGCTCCGCTAGCAATCCAAGGGCCTTAAGAATTCACCCTAAACAGAATGTAGGCCTGGATTATTAGGACAGTGCTTGGTGCAATTTGGCTAGCATTATTAGGTATATGGGTGTTCTACGGGTATATGGGTGCCATACGGGAGTAACATTACTCATGGGTATATTGTAGGCGGCCTCTTACTTTCTTCCGCTCTGGTGAATGTCCCACAGCCAAGAATCGCACCTGTTCTGATTCAAGCCCTCCTGGTCGCAAGGACACCTTTGGAAGCCACGGAAAATTGCAAGTATTGTCTGAATAGTTAGTAACAGCATCCCCTTGAAAGGTCTTCGATACCAGAAGGGCCTACAAACCCTAGGCCCGACTCTAGATACCAAGGCCCCTACGTGTCAATATGTGTTATAGCTCGTTGCATTAGAGCTGCAGTCCTCGCGGAAGTCTTTTTCAGCCATGGGAAGACAAAGTCTCCCAAAACCTGCAAAGAGCCCTGCCAATTGAGCCTCAAGCTGCAGCCCCGGAACCCCAAACTCCAACAGCCAAACCCTAAGCCAAACCCTACACTTAACCTTTCTGCCTGCTGGCAGACTGAAATTGGAGCTCCCAGAAGCATTGCAGCCCATGTATATGATATGCATTCTATATATATATACACACACACATACTTACATACATGTGTGTATATATATGTGTGTCAATGTGTATGTACATATCTCCGTCTCTCTCGCTCTCTCTACATAGATGTATATATATATATATATCGTACTCCCCCCCCCCCCCCAAATGTCAATGTGTATGTACATATCTCCCTCTTTCTCTGTCTCTCTTTCTCTTGCTCTCTCTCTCTCTCTCTCTCTCTCTCTCTCTCTCTCTCTCTAAAAAAATTATATTCACAGATATATATATATATATATATATATATATATACACCCCCCACCCCTCAGGGCAGGGGCCGGCGCCGCCGCCCGAGATCCCGAGCCGCAGGAGCTGGCAGCCCGAGGCTGAGGGCCTCTGGGTTTGGGGCTTGTGTCGTTTTTTGGGGGGGTCTTAGAGTCTTAGGTTTGAAGGGTTGTAGGTTTAGGGCTTAGGGATGCTTAGGGGTTAAGAGGTGGATTTGTGGGTTTGGGTTAGTTTGAACAGCTTGGAGTCTGTTTCATTGGCAGTGCTTTGTCGGGCTTGGCTCCAAGGAACCGCAACCCTGCACACGGTGCCGTTGCCTCAGAGCGCGCGCTGCAGCTCCGCGTTTTACTGTGGGAGAAGCTTTCCTGCGTATGATATATTGAATATCAATCCTCATTCCTTAATGAAACCCAAGACGGGCAGTCTTTCCAGTGAGCTTTGCGCTTAGGTGGGACTTGAGTGGCTCGTCGGAGGACACCTGTGACTGTGACACGAAAGAACAGCGACAAAAGCTCGACCGGTACCGCGAGATATGTTTCTGTCTCTAACTTAGTGGAAGTCGTTTTACTCTGGTCGGCGTACCTGAAGTGACATGCTTTTTTCACGGGAGAAGCTGCCCGCCTCGTACACTCCTGTTCTTCATTCATGTTATTTCGCACGGCTGGCCTAAAGGGCCTTAAAGGTGCTGATATTGTATCGTCCTCGAAGGACTGGGAAAACGGCTCTCTGGAGTTCTGCTTCAGTTTCATGTTGTTTCTCATGCCCTCTTCAGAGCAGCACTGGCTCGTCGTCTCGCAGTGGCCCGAAAGATAGGCCCTGGCTCACATTGGGTTCATCCCTCTGGCCTCGAAGCTTCCGCGGTGACATGGCACGCCAGCGGGACGTGACGGTGCCCAGGGCCTGGCAAGAGCACTCCCGTCCGAAGCCGGAGAAGGTCTGGTATAGGGGCACAGGGCAAAGCCATGCGAACCTGTCGAACCCTCAGATTCCTAGATGCTGGAATCTGCCCCGCTCTCCGAGGTGCCTGGACCAGGTCCACCGTCCAAGTTTGCGTCCGACCGTAACCCTGTCACTGCCTTCCTGCGCGAAGCTGGCCTCATCCAGTACGCCAGGGTGCGGAGTGAGCCACTACAAACCTGCATGAGTTTCAGCTTTAGATGCGAACACTTCTGAACCGCCCTTAAGCCACAAAACGCTCAATTCTACGGCCACGTTTCGCGAGTATGCTGGTGCAGGCAAGAATCTGCCCTGTCAGGTCTTGAACCATCATGGCTTTGACGACATGGAAACCTTGCTTTGCATGGAGGATGAGCACATGCGGGAGATGGGCATCGCGACTGGCCACATCCTCAAGCTGAAGAGGCCGAGCAGCTTTCGGACTCTGCAAGAGAGGATCCGTGAACAAAAATCCTTCACCCCACAAGGGCTTTTAGGGTGTAGGGGAGGGGGTAGGGCTGAAAGGGTGTAGGGTTATAGGCATAGGTTCATTGAGAGAGCTTCCTGGGGGGTGGAGGACAGCATGTTGACACGGCTTGGCTATGGCGTCTGTGCTTGTCTGATACCTGACAACCTTCTGCAAAATGTGTTGCCGTCTAAACGGCTTCTGTAGGCTGTGAAAGCCCAGCTTCTTTCAACCTCTCATCCACGCCGCGAAATACATGTATATACATATATATATATATATATATATTATATCGTATCATGTATCATGTAAACATTCAGCCCTGACCCTGTTTGCTAAATTTTGCGGAAGGCACCTCCGCGAGCACGCGCTGCAGCGGTTCGGACAACGGGAGCCCGCCAGCCAGTCGAGTCAGGTCGCCGTACCCCGTTTTGGAGGCGGTTTGGGGTTTCGGGTTCAGGTGGATTCCAATGCAGACCCAAAGGGGAGAGTAGGATCCTAGTAGAGCGCCAGACCAGGCAACACGTAAGATTTTGTCAATAGCAACCTTTGTGGCTATGTTTCATCGTGAAATCGTGTCTTTTGCCAAAAGTGCATGAGCGAAGCAGGCGGCGAGACGCAGGGCAAGGCCTACACAAGCGTGCAATTGAGCTGGATGAAGCTGAAGGACGAGATTGGCTTGAGCACCGTGGGCGGCCTCTTCTACCAGAAGTTCTTTGCCTTGGAACCCGAGGCAAAGGAGCTGTTTCCCCTGAGCATGCGCTTCCGCTACATGGACTGGGGCGCTAGCGAAGAGGAGGACCCGGATGATCCGACGCACTCCCCAGCTTTGAGGAACCACGGCAGAAGTCAAGGAGCTTAGGGCTGTGTGGCACCTGAGATTTTAGTTGCCGGATGTTGAGAGTGCTGTCAAGGGTCAAGTGCAGTCATTTAATCACGGTGAAACTGATCCATCGCAAGCTCTTCTGAGGAACCTATGGGCCAAGTTCATCTCAGTCGTCGGAAGTGCAGTGGCAGGTCTTCAAGACACTTGTCGGCTTGTCCCCATGCTGCAGCAGTTGGGCATGCGTCACGCCGGCTACGGCCTGAAGGAGAGCTACTTCCACCTTGCTGGCAAAATTCTTGTGGATTGCATTGCGGAGGGACTCGGGAAATCTTTCACCAAAGAAGTGGAGAATGCCTGGGTCATGGTTTCCGGCTTCATGGTGGCGACTATGCTGTCAGGCTTCAGCACTGCGCAGAAGGACATCCAGGATGCGGAAGAACGCCTCCGTTTGAGCTTGCATCCCTCGGACGCCGAGAGTACCGCCCTGGGCGAAACAGAGCTCGAAACAGATCTGGACTCGCGGCAGATCACTCCTGAAGATTTGGACGTCTACCGCCAGTAGATTCGGGCCATGCCTACGACATGCGCCCACCGCCCATTTTTTGGCCCCAGGCCCCATGTTCCGAGGCCTTCAAGGGCAGACGTCTCGATCTTCTGTTCCAAAATATCCACTCAGTCCCAAAAACGTCTACAGGAAGCCTTCTCTCGGAGTAGCTGGAGGAGGCTTCGTACGTTAGGGACCTGAACTGTTCATCATAGTCTGCATGATTCACTTCACTGCTTCGACTTCTTTTCCGAGAGTCGGGGGCCGAAGATCAAAAGGAGCATCGAAAGAGCATACTGGTAGTGACTGTAGTGACTATGGTGGCGTTAGCAACATCATGGGGGCTGCTCTTGCGGTCTAGTCTATTGCAGCTGTTGGCTCCAGACCTTGCCCCGGTCCTCCCTGAAATCAACCCTCATGCAGCGAATGCTCAAATTACTTGTAGGATGTTGCATGGCCATGGGAAAAGTCGCGATTTCTCACCGAGGCCCGGACAGCACTCGGGGAGTTTGATCAGAGGAAAAGTGTGGCTGCCTGCTGGTTGCAGCGCAGCACCACGCCCCTTTGCTCCTGCACTTGTTTTGATAGCTGTTGATGGCCAGGGTTCTTGCTGAGCGCTTTGTCCTACCCACCATGTGGGGGAAGGCCCCGTGTTGATGGGTTCGGACCCTCGGTTGCCCTCCGTCGTGGGTGCTTTGCCTTTGCGCTCTGGCTGCCTTTGCCGCAGAGCGCCATCACTCCGAAAGTGGAGGGCCGCTGCACAGAAGGAGAGCATCACAGCCGTGTTCACAGCACATTGTGCAGGTGTCATGGTCGCCATAGCCGCCTGACTCCCAGTATCCGGACGCCTGTTCACGGTGTTTGCGACACTGCGACGGTGCTGTGTTGGTTTCGACGAATGACTTCCAGCAGCCGTTTGCTCAAGTCATCACATGGCCTCTTCGTAGGATTGGGGACGCGGTGCTCCGAGGCTCCGAATAAAAGAAGACCACAATTCCCCAAAGTCCAGCTTCGCCACAAGCTGAGGCAAAGATGAGCGGTCCAAGGCATCGCCAGGCGATGAGTGACCGCCAGATTGAGCTTCTCCGAGAGCACTTGGAACCCGGGCAAGCATGGCAATGGCTGCTATGGAGTCTTCTGATTTCTGGATACACTGTATACACAGGCCTATCACCATGGTCTAGCGGCATACTGCTTGCATCTTTCAACCAAGGACAGAAAACACCTGAGACTAGAGAAGATGATCCGTGCCAGCACACGGCAGGCTGGCAAAGCGATGTGGGAACAGATCCTGCTCAACTGCGCAGTGCCTCCTAGCCAAGCCTCGTACACGTCTACCCCAAAACTCTTGAAAACAACACGCTCCGATCACCCTCGTGCATTCATGAAGCTGGCTCGACAAAGCCCCCCTGAAACATCGAAGAAGATCCGAACGCAGGCAGCTACCGCGACTGCATCGGCCTTACAGCTGCTCAGATGATCTTAGCAGATTCATCGGAACACGATGAACTTACGGCTGATAGGGGTTTAGTGTTCAGGAGTATATATTATATAAACTATGATGTTACATGTCACAGTTATCAACTATATCTATATCATACTCTATATACATATATATGTGTATGTATATATCATATTAATGGGCCTGGGTTAGAAGGAGTTCGGGCTGTGGCAGTTCGGGGTTGTCACCTTGGGGGTTCCGAAGCCCAAATGCGCTCTTCAACGGAGGCAGCAGCTTCAAGTCATGCAGAAGAACCTCCTGGTCGGCCTCCAGAGTAATGGACTCCAGGACATCACAGCTCACAGCTTGCCGGGTTCTGGGTCTCCAGCTTTGGGGCTCAGCGTTCCTCCTGAGCCTCGTATTATTGTTGAGGCCTTGCAGTCAGCCCTGGTAGCAAGCTAAGCCAGTTGAAGCCTCAAGCCCTGAGCCCTCCAGCCGCATTACCTTTTTTGATGCTATGAGGATGGGTCGTTCAACCCACTGCCGGGAGCCATGCCTGCCATGCCAAGTCCGAAACTGACCAAGTTGGGCTCGCCGCTCACCTGCAGAGGGCCGGGTAATACTGTCCCCTTACCGTCCTCGTATAGTTATTTACTGGTATATACCCAAAATTCTGTTCCAACTACGGCCCTATAGCCCTGAGTTGAAGCTGGATTTGCGACGTGATTTGGGATTCAAGCACTTAAGTTGCTCACTTACCTATGGGTTCTATATTGGAGTCCCTGCTTTCTGAAACTCCAATGTCGCTCTTAAGGAGGTTGCTTTGCTGACTGCCGTCTTCTGAAGTTGCTGCTTGTAGCAAAGGGTGGGAAGCATCGACCGCTTGACTGCAGATCCCTTCAGCGACCTGGATGCATTCGCAAGTGAGGGGGTTTAGGGTTTATAGGGTCTACCCGGCTGTACCTCCCTTGCTTTGCCTTGGAGTGGTCAGGCTCCTTGAGTAACTGAGACCTACACCCTGTAAAGCTCAAGCGGCATTGGGCTGAGGCGACTTTGAAGACGACCCCTTGAGTGATGACGATGAAGATGCAGCACGGCTCCGATACGAGAGGTCCGAAGGCATCAAGAAGTCGAGATCCAACTCGGAGACCAAGGAGACGTCTGGGTTGAACCCTTGAGGGTAGAAGCTTCAGGGTGCGCCCACAGAGGGCTCTCGAACCTAGGGCATGTCATCATGTTGGAACCCGGGTCTCGCAGGACAACGTGAAGACTGCCTGGCAGGAAGAGGAGGCTCAGGCCCGGGATAGCGGAGCATCATGCCAGCGTGTTGCAGCT